AGGCATAAACACGTGTAGAAGAGGACCAAGAATGAAGAAAGTGAAGTTAGTGGCCTAAGAAAGAGGAATGAGGGTGCAATACATCGCAGTTGTAGGAGGAGAGAAAATGCAAAGGCAGCTACAACAGTTGCAATTCATAGGCAGTTATGAGAGCCTAGCAAATGGACACGTGGCAGCACAACATAGCCATTGGAAGCCATATAAAAGCTGGGAATTCAAAGGAGAAAAGATCTTCAACCAAAGTTACAACTCATGTGGAATTAGGAGTAGCATAACTTAATTAGGAGTAGTTTTTGCATTTAGGAGTAGTCTGTTTGTAATTCGGTCTTTGTAACCAAGTTTGGCTCTATCGATTGTTGTGCCTTTTGAACTTGTAATTTAATTCTTGTAATTAAGTGACAAGTTTACTTGTTCTTCAATTGAATTTCAGTTTATTTGCACTTGTTTCTTCACATTGCAACCTCCAAAGAAGTCTTTGAAGCTGTCAAGGCATAGGACACCAACCACATTGCCTAATTGAATTTCTGTTTGTGAAAATTGGTTTTCTCTGTCGACTTTTTCCTGTCGATTTGACCCAAGCCAGATTTTTGCTAACACATACTAAGAAGACTTCCCGCTTAGAGAAATGAACCCACAACAGGGGCTTATATTTAAAGTTCTATGGAGAAGTGAACCCACAACACTTTTTAACCCTTCAAGAATGGCTAAGAAGAAGGAGCTTGAAGTTAACATTTCCATTGGGGAAATGAAGCAAACCAACAAAGGGAAAGCAAAAAGATAGAATTTCGTAGCAGCAGGGGTTGTTTTGAAATTAGATAACTATTGCAACATTTTATCTGAAATCCAATAACTAATCAATTTGAAAATAAAACTCATCCTACAACCTCCTTCCACCCTTTTGGAGTTTTAAATCCTAAACCCATTAGCCTTTCACAAACAAAACCATTTTTTATTTTTATTTTTTTGGTAAAAGCTTCATTAGACATCAATACTCAAATTGGAAACACAACTTTTCCTTATAAATATAGGTGTCACTTTATGACTAAACTCTCTAACACCATTGGTTAACACCACCATCGGTTAATATTACCCCCTTTCGAGTTGAAGGTTAACACCACCCTTGGTTAATACCAGCCCTTATTTGGGTTGTTTGTTAACACCACCTTTCCTTCTCTTATGTGAGCGTGTTTGGATTGTATCCCTTGTTATGTTTCATATCATTTGTACGAGGCTTACTTCACATATTACTCATTCATTGCATTAACATAAAATCATGAACTTTCAAAAACTCGGCAGTGTGGTCATTTCTAGCATATCATTTGCATCATGCCCCTAAACTATGCTGGTTTGATTTTTTGCAAAGGGATATGCAGGCAACCCTCGGGTTCAACCAATTTCATCTGCATTTTGTTTGTTTACCCAAGTCTTACGACCTTGTCATCTTCAGCTCTGACATTCCCTCACGTCATTAAATGACGTATCGAGCTCTGTCAAATAAGGGCCACTGTAGACACTCCATTTTGACCAGCCCTTAAACTTGGGCGCTTTCTTTTAGTCACCCGATAATGAAAATAAGAATATGCTATCTCATAAAATTCTCAGTGGAAAGATGAAATTTGAGCTTTAATCCCAACCTTCAGCCATTTTGGCCAAATTGTTTTAAACCGGTTTTAACCTAAATCTTACATGTTTGGCCTGTTAAAATATATTTTATTAGTCCAATTGTTTTTGTTTTATAATTTTAATTATTTTTGGTGTTTACATATATATATATATATACATATTTTTGGTATTTGTACATATATTTATGCAAATAATACCTTTTCTATATTATTATTTATAAAGTGTATAGTACCTATTGAAAATTTTGCCTCCACCGTTTGGTTTTTTGTGTGTTTGTGGGTTTTTTTTTCCTATAAAATGGGCAAGGAGAAGATCAGGAAATAGGGGAGATCTGAAGAAGATCGAGGAGAAAAACTGAGAGAAAAGGATCAGAAAGAAAAGAAAGGTAAAAAAAGAAGAAAGTGAGGAAAAATATTTTCAAGAGGGGAAATGGAAAAAATTCTTGGATATTTTATTTTTGAGGGAAAAAATATTTCTCTGAATCAAAATTTTCAACCAACCTTTTTTTCTATTCTCTTCACTACCTCTTCTCTAATACACCATCCAAAAAAACAAAACACCATTAAGGCCGAAATTCCAAACTTTGGATTGAGAATTGAGAATACATTCCACAACCTTGAGGGTGATCAGAATAAAGTTTGTAAATCAAAAAAATTCATCATTTTCCCAAAAGGTGAATATTTACAAACTTTCACTTAATAAAATGTGATATGAACTGTGATAAACTGTTTTACCGCTTTGAATGGTCGGTTTCAAACCACCTACATAAACTGTTGTAATTTACTGCTTTATATAAGCTGTTGTAATTTACCTCTTTAAATGGTCGATATTTCACTACTTACACAAATTGTTATAATTTATCGCTTTAAATGGTTGATGTTTCACCACCTACATAAGTTGTTGTAATTTATTGCTTTATATGGTTGGTTGAACCACCTAATTTGTTAGAGATATGACCCCGTTGGGATAGTTACTATTGGAATAGTTACCGTCGGAATAGTGACAGACGGATGAATAGTGATACGCTAGGTGAATAGTATCCGCTGGATGAATAGTGCTCCGACCAAATGTGTTTTCTTGGGCAAAATAAAGCAGTCACCCAACAGCAGGTAAAACAATTTTCGGCGGATGAATAGTAACCAGCAAATGAATAGTAACTTATTTTTATTTTTATTTTATTCGTATGATTTGTTAGATTCGGTTTATGTTGTAATAATTCCCAACCCCCGCTTCTTTCTACCCATTTCTATGTATGTCTTCCAACTCCTATTTCCTTCAATCTCTTTCATTACTTGCTTTCCATTTCTGTAAATAGCATCATATTTTCTTTTTTCGTCATACTCATACTTTGCATTCATCTTTCATGCATTTTGATTTAGCTCATTTGCATATGTAGGGTTAATCAATTATTATGTGATTATGTGCGCTACCTTATGTCTTGAGATGATTTACATATCATGTATTAGTAGCCGAATCTTTAGTCGCATGTTTATGTATGTATTACATTAGAATTTTGCATCTAGGATCATGCATATTTTCTAACTTTGTTTTGTAATTTCCTGCAGGACGCCAATAAATATCATGTGAGTGTTTATGCTTTAACATCCCGTTGTTATGTGTTTTTCTTATTATGTCTAGTATCTTACCATGCAGCTATTTTCTTAGTTGATATATCTCTATGAGTGCCAATGGATGGAGGTTGTGTCGCGCAATGTGGAATAGTGTTGATTTCTTATGCCTGTGGGCTCAATTTCATTGTGAGTTGTACATAACTCCAAATTCTTTCAAAATGCGTAAAATCAAGCCGTTCCAAAATGAATGACACAATATATACTTGTTTGCTTCACATAGTAAATTTTAGCATTATTAATAGTCAAAATATGAACATATATTGTCTATAAAATTCATATCATGATTTAGTAGAGGCTAATCTTTTGATCGAGTGGGTGGGGGTGCCATTACCGTCCCCCATCATACCTAAAGTTTCGGACTGAGACATCTCCGATTACGACGAACAGTGGCCTTGGCACGAGTCACGGGTTTCCTAGTTTTTTTCCAAAATATTAGGTGGCGATTCTGAGATTTGGTGATGCAGTTCATTTCTGGCAACGATTTTGCACTAACATGGATTTTCTATAAAAGTTGTTGGATTTGGACTCTCATCTATATTTCACATTGCACTCATGAAACTAGATCAAAGAAATCGGGGGTTCAAACTGTTTAGCGCACTCAGGTACCCCCCAGGCATGCGAGAACAACTAAGGGATATAAAAGATAAATGGGCAAAGTGTTGTTATTAGTTAGGTTGTTTGATGGTTTGTGTAGTGTGACTCTTGTGTATAGTTGTTAAGGGTGCCTTTTGTTAAGTGTTACCAGTGTATAGCTCCTAGTTTCTGTGTCTTCTTCATTCATGTCATAAGTAACTAGGGGCAAAATCTATTAGCAATACATTATGATCACATCTTTGTTTTAGTACATCTTTACAAAATTGTGAAGAATAAGGGGTCGGTGGGGTAGTAATTGTTTGGATTGTAGGATTAGTCTAGGTATGCCCCCTATAAACTTATATATTTCATTGTTTTATTGTATGACATACAAACCAAAATAAATAAATAAATAAAAACATGTTTTTCAAAAAAAAAAAAAGAGTGGATTTTTCGATAGAAAAGGGATTTTATTTCAACATGGCCATAAACATAAACTAAGGTAAATAATATTTGTGAAAATCATCCAAAACAATGAACTTTACATAGAAAGCACCTAACTTGCATTAAAAAGACAATACACCAATCATGTGATCACTACTACAAAAACAGATAAAGATCACACCTTTTTAATTTGATCTATTTTATTTAATCATGTCAAAGTGTGATCTTTGGGATTTTTAATCACACTCTTTAAGTGTGATTAATAACATTTAAGATCAAATCTTTTAAGTGTGATTAATAACATTTAGATCACATCTTTGAAGTGTGATTAAAAACTAATAAAACCTCTGATAATAAATATTTAGATCACATCTTTTAAGTGTGATTAAAAACTAATAAAACCTGTGATAATAAGCATTTAGATCACATCTTTTAAGTGTGATTAATGCCTAATAAAACCTTTGATTAATAATGAAATAAGATCACACGTTATATGTATTTCTCATCACAGTTAATTCGTGTGATAAAAAAAGGATTCGACATATTTAAAGAATAATCAATATTATTTTTGTACATGCATTTCAATAATGTAATAGATACTATATATTATACTTTGAATCACAACCACATATTGAATGGAATAACGTCATACATTTCATAAATGAAAGTTAAATATGTTCAAAAGTATATACAAAGAAATTAAATAAAAAATTTTAAACTGTGCTTACATATATTAAAAAATGAAAAAACTTGAAAAACTAAGTTCTTGAATTCTTTGACCATATTTTGCATCTCTACAAAAAATTTCTAACCTGAAAAATGAAATCACAAATTAATTCAGAAACCGCTATGAAGAAACTAACTATTTGTAGAGATTGTTTTATTCTTACAAAAGATAAAGTCCGACTGATCACGCCCCTTCAAATGTCTTAACATTACCTCTAGTATGACATGAAGCATGTAAAAACAAAATGTCACTTTACCTACAAAAATTGCAAGTTCAACAGAAATTTTACTATAACCAAGGCTCTATCTATCTCAAATATTTAATGTTCTACAAAAGAAATGCAATTGAATGTTGATTGTGCAAATATACCTTGAGTGCATTTCAGATATTTGCGACCATTCTTCATCATCTAAAGTGGGGTCTTCTACTCCTCCATATTGATAAATTAATTCATGTGACTGTCAAAATGAGCAAGACTTGTCGACTTGTAGTCATACTTGCAAAACAAATGGTACCACAAAAAAAAAGAAAAAAAAGAAGAAGCAAAGATCTAACTATTATACAAATGTGTAATTAACTAATAAAAACTGCATACTTCACAAGAAGTCCAATGAAGAAAGGGATGCATGCATAAAACAAACTTTAATTTTCCTGTCAAAATTGAAGGCAGAAAGAAATACAATTATATATATATAATTTTTTTAATAAAAATGTATCAATTTTTTTACTAGAAAAGAAACATATATGAAACAATATAAAAACTACGAATGCAATAATGAAAAATTAACATTAACAATCTCAAATGTAACATTTTAAATTGATCCTTAATAAATTATTAGGTATCAACAATTGCACCATGAATATATTATTTATTTTAATACAATGCATATTTGGAAATTCTAAAAATCAAGGGCAACAACTTGAAATCATCAAAATATGAGTAGATAATCTTCAATTCATACCTGGATCAAGAGGTGATAACCTTCTTTGAAGTAGAGTGGCATATCCTTAGGAGATAAACTTCTTAGCATTTACCAAGAGAGGGGTTATGACAAATTGTTGGCAAGTATTCCTCCATATAAAATCTTGAAGCACTATGCTTTCTAACAAAAATTAAAGCTATACCCACAAAACATGAGTATGTTATTTTGTATGCTCTACTCTGGTTCAAAGAAAAAGGATATAAAAGATGAAAAGAACCAGAAAAAAAAATATCATAGTGCATGTGCTATCCATGATAAAATTGTTTCATGTCAATTTTATTTGCTATGTTAGAGGTTAAAACAAGAAGGTTTGAGATATAAAGACCAACCAACTCTTCGGTAACTCAATGTACCATACAAACATAGGAAAGAAAAAAATAGGGCATAAACATAGTTAGGGTGTTTAATTCCCCCTTCCCTTTTCACTTCTCTTCAACCAAAAACATAGGCCATAGGAAATCCTTTAAGCAATTTAAGAATCCAAGCTTGATTCAAACATGACATGTGTGAATTGGCAACTCCATAGTCAGATTTTTGAAAAGAAAAAAAATGGAAAGAAGAAGCCAAAAAATGAAAATAAAATAAATCTTTAAGGTGCATATATCAAAGCTGTTGGGCCATAAAAGTCCTTCCACATTAGAAGAGATAAGAAATAGGGTCGTACCTCTAAGGTTCATCCAAGATCTAGGCATCGCAATTGTCACGCCCACCTTTTATTACTCGGATAACATTACCAAATCCATTATAATAATTCAATTTAATTGAGGATAAGCATGAATAAATAATATCATTCTCTCACAACAGTAATAATGATATAAATAAGACATGGTACGATGCCCTTAGGCTTACATTGAATAATAATAAATGAAACAAAAGGATTTACCTTTATACAATACATGGCACTCAGCCTACAAATAAAGGGGCCCCGTGGCCAACAAATAAGAGACTTCAAGTCACAAACGATCCTTCTAGTCTTGCACCTGAAAGAGTTAATCAACACGTGGGATGAGCACTACGCCCAGTAGAGATCCCAAAGATCCTAACCAATCACAACATATAGATAAAAATGATCATGAATGCATCAAGTCATACCATATACGTAATGTGACATTTGATATAGAAAGTATACACATATAACTGTATGTTTCTCAAAATGTTCCTCTTGACACATTTCAGCATGAAAACCAATAATTCTCTTTTACATTCCCATTATTATTTCTAAAAGAAAATGTTTTGAAACCTCATTCTTTCTTTGATAAAACTTCCCACTTTAATAGAAAAGGAATCTCACTTAAACAACCGTTCTGAAAATATAATTCCACAAGCAATTCATGGTTCTCATCCCATCTCTCAATATTCCATAACCATTAACCTTCCTTTATATCCCAACACAAATGTCTACAACCCTTTCTTGACCATAGGCCCAAGGGTAAAAGACCGTTATGAAACCGTTAACACATATACACCTTTAAACGAGATATTCAATGTAATACATACTACCAATCTCATCTCCCCAATAGGCAAACTAACAACACTCATATATATATATATATATATATATCCAAAACAAGATAACTGAAGTAATACATACTCCCAATTTCATCTTCTTGATATGAGTAACCGACAATACATAAATATATAAACAAAACGAGATAACAGGAACAACACATGCTACCAATTCCATCTCCACCGGCCTACAACACGGATGACAGATCCACAACACTAGAACCACATATATATATATATATATAAAACAAGGTAACAAAAATAATACATGCTACCAATTCCATCTCCACCGGTCTATAGCACGAATGGCAGATCCACAACACTAATACCATATTACACTTTACCGACCTCACCCGGAAGGAGGTGCTCCCCAGTTCATACTTTACCGGGCGCGAATCGGAAGGGAACGCAAAACCTATCATAACATGCCATGCTTTTCCGGCTAAGATATGGCAAGAAACGGACCCCCTTTTCACACTTTACCGGGCACAAACCGGAAGGGACGAGGAAACCTCTGTCAAGGCGCCACGTTTTGTCGACTATGATACGGTGGGAAACAGACCCCCAAACATCATCACAATCAAGAGCATAGCAAGCAAATCAATAGAATACTACACTAGTGTAATACATACACCTAATTCAATTATCAACATAATAGTCACAATCCATTAATTACATTAATGCCATTCCTTTTTCAAAATATACTCCACGGTTTCACACGGGTTTTCCTTTAATTTCAAACATTCCCAAAATACCTCATTAGTTACTAAACATCAAGGCATAACTAGTCAATAACCGTTTCTCAATTGTAACAACATTTACAACGTTCCAATTCTCTTTTAAACAACATAATCCACAGCTCAACAATAGAATCGTCTATTAACGGTGTTCATTTGTCAAAGACAACACCACGTGTTACATCGCATAACGCATCCTACAATAGTATTCATAGACCATCTCTAGCAACAAGCAACACCATCCTCCACCGATGGCCGAGGACAAAACTCTAGACGTCAACCACATAATCTGAAACAATAGAAAAGCCCATAGGAAAGTCCCACCATCCCGCTCATCACAAACCCTCAAGGTTTATAAAAATAACTTGTTCATTTTATTTTGAAAATCAAACCTTACTTCCCCACATCCCAACAAGCACCACAATGGCTACATCCACCAACATTAACCCAAATACCTCAACTATTCATAAACTACCATAACACAACCCCATATCTATTCAAACATTAAACCTCTCTTTGACATTTCAAAGTAACAAACGATATACCAAACCTTCCCAATTCACATCCTAAATATGATTTGTAACCCACAACCGATTATACATAAACCTACAACCAAGTACACACAAACCCATAAACCCACCATTATAGACCCAAATCCACCCATGTGCTTTTTAACAAAATCAACCACCAACTATGCTTTTTTGAATGCAATGAAAATACCACAAGTTTATCTATAAAGAAGTATTGAAAAGAAGCTCAAGAATCCCTACGTCTTGGAGCGAAGAGGAGAAAAACCAAAAATCCGCTGGCGATGAAAACACGATCCACTCAGATCAAAATGAAGTCTCCACGACCCTCTACGTTTTGATCTATAGGACTAGGGGTAGAAAGTGGGTGTAACTAGATGAAACCCAAGCTTTTAGGTCCAAGAAACCCTAACAATGGTGGAAATGAAGAGAGAGAAGAGAAGGAAAAGCAAAAAGTGACATTTTCGGCGTGCTGTGACCTTATAAAGACGCACGGTCCGCTCGAGCGTGGAAACTGACGCTCGAGCGTCAGACATAAAAGTCTACTTGAGCTTGAAAAGTGGCGCTCGAGCGTAGAATATGCACTTCCAGAAGTTTTGCAGACGAAGGGCCCCGCTTGAGCGCAAGAATGGACGCTCGAGCAGAGGAGCAAAATCAGCGAAGCCCGCTCGAGTGGAGAAGCCAAAATCTGGGCAAAAAGTGTTTGGAAAAACAAGCAATCAATCTGTTCCAAACGCACCACTATAACCCGGTAATCATGATAAGGGGTAGACAATGGAAACAAGATATGAATAACCATTCAAAACCATACCAACCTTATTCCGGAATACAATAAGTGACGGGTCAAAACCGGGATCGCTATAGCAATAACCAAATCACAATTGTGTGGTATCAGTGAATCCTCACAAACAAATCAAGAACCATAGAAGCATCACCTGTCATGTTGCATTTTCCATAAATATCACCTATAGCAATGAAAGCAATTAAAAATAAAATAGTTATAAGAAAAATAGATAACACAAAATTTTATGTGATTTGGCAAAAATATTTACGTCTAGGATGAGTGAGAAGTAATCTACTGAAAAATATAACAATTACAATGATGAGACAAATATAATTCCTTAGTATTTTCTCACACCCTTTACTGTCATTGCTCTCAATCTCATACCCTCACAGAGATAATACACACAAATACAGTGTTGCTTTCCCATTGCACACAATGTTACCGCATACAAAACACTCACTGTGTATTTCTTTATATGTATCACCTTACATCCCCATCACATATATATATAGGGTTCATTCAGAAATTGATTATTTTAAATTTTTATAAAATAATGTGTAAAAAATAAATAGTGAAATGATAATTTATAATTACTTTTTAAATTTTTAGCTATAAATCTTTCTTCGCAAATGGACCCATAATATGTATATATGCAATGATTACCATTTTACTTTCTAGCACGATCCAAAGAGAACAACCGATGGCGCATGCACACTCTTTAATGCCCACGTTTCCTCTTCAAAGAATTAGTTGAAGCATTACCATATCAACGCTAGAAACTACTCATATACTTTTTTGAGTATTTCCTAAGTCAAACGAGAAATTATTTAATGTTTCTAAAGCAAATTTAAGTAGTGTTTTAAATGAGTAGTTATTAGTTTAAATTATGAAATCTTTTATTTTTGTGTAAAATTTTTTTTTAAAATAAAGTGTCAATCTTTAAATAGAATAAAATAAAATATTGCTTTAGAAATATTGAATAATTTATTAAGTCAATTCTTTTGTTTCCAAGGTAATCCGACAACATTACCATTTCATCTCCCAATAAAAACTGCCAACCACACTACACAGATTTACTGTCAAATTATTTCCATTAACTGTATGGCGTCTAAGATCATATCTATGTATTTCTAAGAGAAATTAACAAAAACCCTAACAAGCTTTGAGTTCTCAAGATCGAATTTCTAATCATACAAACCCCAAGCAAGAACAAGAAATCAATAGATACATACAGATTTCAATAGACTAGCATGAAATTGATCAAGAAACACAACAAAATCAAATCAAATCAAACTCAATCTAATGGGATCTTCTAACCTTATAATGAATTTATTCCTGCAAAATCTAGAGAGAGAGAGAAAAAAAAAACAGAAAAAAGAAGAAGATGAAAAAAGATAGAATAACTGTGAATATTTACATTCATCTAAAGAACTGTAAAATACATACAAAACATAGTTAGGGTGTTTAATTACCTGTAGCTCTCTAGGGTTTGGTCGTCCTTCAAGATCTGCAATCGCCGACACTGAGGTGGTGGTTCTGCAGCAGAAAGAGGTGCTGTGCGACGGGCAACAGCGGCGGATCGGTGATGGCAGATCCAACACTGATGGTGATTGTTGTTGCTAGGGATGGGAGTTTCAACGCTAGGGTTTCTACAGGGGAGAGAAAGATAATAAAACCCTAGCTATTGCTAAGTGAGTAGTGAGAGGGTGAAAGGGGTAGACAGGGAGACGGGGAGAGAGGGGGTTTGATTTGTTCCACTGTGGATACTACTATATATATATATATATAAATAAATACTAAATATAATCACACTTAATTAAAGATATATATATATATATATATAATCACATTTAATTAAAAAGTGTGATTAAAAAATATATATAATCACACTTAATTAAAAAGTGATATAAAAAATAAATATTATCACACTCAATCAAATTAAGTGTGATTAAAATATCAATCTAATTTTTTTTATCACACTTCTAATAAAAGTGAGATATTTTCATTTATCAAAGTGTGATATTTAACTGTTTTTATAGTAGTGTGAATGCTATGGAGATAAGGAAGACTTACTAAAATGACCACTTCAACGTCTTTTATGTAATGCTTAAATTAAATATGTCCTAATGGTCCTAGGCCCTGTTTGAGGCCACTAGAATGATTTTTTTTTTGAGTGAATAGGTCACTAGAATGATGATCATATGCAAAATAATATTTAACAAGTGAAAATAGAATATTTACATGATTCAAACCAGGCTTATTGCATAAATATTATGTGATTATTTTGTCCTAAACATGTTGTTATAAATGTAATAGGCAAAACATGCGAGAAAAGGTGAAAAAGTGAACAAAATGGCCTAACTACATGATGGAATGATGAACTAAGACCCTAGACATGATTGACTACTAAAAATAAAAAGAAAATGAGTACTAAAATACAAAATAAATAAATAAATAAATAAAAATAAAAAAGGAGGGTTTACCCGTTAGTTTTCAAGAACCAAAGAGCACATGAAGAATAAGACAAGAAAACTATGTTTTCTTGCTTGTAGGCCTCCCTTAAACTTAGATTTCTAAGTTTAGTTCAAGTCTCCAAGTCCTCAAATGATTTTGATTGCTTTTTGGTTGCTAAGGATGAAGGAATTTTTAGAATTAGGGGTAAGAGGGGGAGTCTTTCTCTCATAATTTCTGAAATACTCTCAAAAGTTCATAAAATGCTAACCCTTTGAAAGAGGGGATAGAGGGTGCTTTTATAACCACTCCTGACTGAGGGAGGAAGCCAAAGGAGGCTTCTAGGGTTAAGCATCGCTTTCTCCCTAGTGCTTCCCTGTAATATTGCTACATTGCCATCCTTGCAAAATTTCCATTCTTATTTGTCGAGGGGAAGTGCGGTCGTGCATATGATGTGCGGCCACACAAGGGAAGTACAGCCTCACGAACCAGCTATGGCTGCACAAGTGCAACCAATGATCTAGGTATCAACTTTGCATGTCTAGGTATGGGTTTACATGGCTAGATGCGATTTTGCATGGCTCACTACAAGAAAAATTATTTTTGGCGATTAAATTTTTAGTCGCCAAAAGTCCCCTTTTAGTCGCCGAAAGTCGAGTTTTTACTTTCAGCGACTAATTTTTTTAGTCGCCCCTTTTGTCGCGCATACGCGGTCGCGAGAGGTATCGGCGACTAAACTTTTTTTAGTCAGCAAAAAAGAGCTCTATAGCGACCAACTGTTTAGTCGCCATTGGTGCATTACACTTTTTAAAAGCACACATTTAGCGACTAATATTTTAGTCGCCAATAGTCCATGAATCGCCGACTAAACTATTTTGTCGCCCAAAATAACACTTTTGGCGACTAAAAGTTTAGTCACCAAAGGTTCTTCCGTAAAAATAAAAAAAAAACAAATTCTTTGGTTTTTCTGAGATTCGAACCGTGAACCATTCCAACTGCCAACACCTTTACCAACATACTCCCTCCACTATGCCACTTGAACATCACATGACTATATATGCAATATATATTATTTATATACTATTTTGACCGGTATTCATACAAAGCCATATATGTAAATATAATTATTTTTATTGAATATAATTTATGTAAAAAATAAATTATTTATTAAAAAAAAATGTAGGCCACTTTTGGCGACTAAATCAATTATTTAGTCGCCAATTCTATGATTTTTGGGCTACTAATTAATTTGTTGTCGCTAAAAAAATATGTTTAAATTAAAAATAGCACTTTTGGCGACTAAATCTGTTTTTAGTCGCCAAAAACGTCCCGTTTTGGCTACTAAATTGAAATTTAGTCGCCAATTCACTGTTTTTAGCTACTAATTTTTTTTTGTAGCCGAAAACCTTCATTTTCAGCGACTAATCTTTTTTTAGTCGGCAAAAGACCTATAATCGGCTACTAAAATGGTTTTCAGTCGCCAAAACCATCACTTTTGGCTACTAAATTATTTTAGTCGGTAAAACTGCTACATTCGGCGACCAACAAATAGTTTAGTCGCTAAAACCCTGGTATTCGGCGACTAATTCATTTTAGTCGGCAAAAGGCTTCATTTTTGGCGACTACATCCAGTTTAGTCGCCATTTGGTCAACTTTCAGCGACGAAATTCTGAATTTTAGTCGCCATTTGTGCTTTTTCTTGTAGTGGCTTTTGCTTTCTTATGGCCCAAGTAACTCCAAATTGCCTCTCGGTCAAAAATTTTTTATTTGTTTGAATGAATATCGATCGATGTTTTTGATAAAAACCAGTCAATAATTTTGGAAAATGCCATCAATCTATCTGCAATTGGGCTTCTTCCTCTCTCTCGTGGCTGAAAAGTTAGTCTTTGGCTAAAAAGCAAATTCAGGGGTATTTTTTGCCATTTTTGCAAAAGTCAATTTTTTGTCAAAATAGGGTATAACAGCAACCTTAAGCAATTTCCAACAATTTCAAGGGTGGAGATAATACCATTGCATCATCAGGAGGCTTACAAACACCCAAATCTTTGGGTTAGTCAAAATGGAATGTCTACACTTGGACCAAATCCTTTGGTTGTGACGGGAAGGGGCCTATATTGGTAGAAGTCAGGGTTTCTTAGTTTTTCCAAAAAGATTAGGTGGCGACTCCATGTCTCATGATTGGTCTTTATTTAGCATCCTGCTTGATTAGTGGATTTTTAGTAGACGTATTAGAATTAGACTTTGCTTGTTTCACATTGTACTTTGCTTTGTGAACGAGACATGGAGGGGCGAGTTGTCAGGCCCACCAGATACCCTTCAGAGGGAGATCACATAGCTATTTAGCCTTCAAACCTGTCCCTAAAAGCCTATATAAACCCCTCTTTCCTTCCATTATTTTTCACTAAACATTGAACATTATTGAAGTCGCTCAATCTCCTAGTCAAGGAAGCTTTCCCTAGAGAGAATCCAAAAGGCAGTTTTACACTCTTGTGCCAGACTTGACCATTTTAGTTCAAAATTTTTGTGACAAGTTCGTCTTGGATGCTTTCATCCGAAGGCGTGTTAAGAGTTACTCTTTGAAGGAGTTCCTAAGGGTGGCAAAGCATGTGCCGCTGTGGTTTCGCTTTGAAGTTAATAAGTTTTATTACTTTTCTATTTTCTTTTTATTTTATTTTAAGTTCTTAGTTGGGATTTTAATTTTAGTTTAATATTTTGTTCTTATTTTGTTATGTTCATATTTGGTAGCCAATTAATTGCTTAGCATAGTTAGTATTTTCTTTTAGTTTAATTTTCTTCTATCTTTACTTGCTATTGCTATCATGGTGTGATTGAGCAATTAATTTCTGTTTGTTATAATGTCCGAGATCAAATCACCATTGATTTGATAATGTCTATTAGATTGGGTTGAATCAATAATATCATTGCATCACTATTGACGTAGCTACACTATTTTATTTTTTTCCCTTAAACAAACATAAAGTATGATTGGTTATGGTTTCTTTAGTATTTTTGATTCATCGATATAAACATTTTTTGTAAGTTTCCCCCGCCCCCTCCCCAAAATAACACTTTTGGCCTCTCTTCCATAAGCCTCTTTTCTGAGGATGGATATTTTTTACTTACTTATTGTGGATAGATGCTTTTCCCGTTTTCCTATTCTTCTTTCCCTCATTCTCTGGATATATTTTTTATTTTTTATGTTTTTTTGTGGAGATCATTGAGATAACTGTTAAAATAGGTTTGATTGGAGTTGTTGACCCAATTTTTATAATTGAATTGAACTCCTGTCTTTTTTAAAAAAATGGGTCTCTTTTTTTATTTTATTTTATTTTTTTACCTAACTTTAAAATTATTTTTCTCAAATAAATACAAAATCCCTCTTTTGAACAATGTATCCTTTTGGATTGACCTTTTTCGTGTTATTGTATAAACTGTCATCATGCATCATGTTTAACAATTTTAAAACTAAGAATCAAAGAGATGATGAATAGAGGTCGACCTTGTGTCAGACAAGATAGGTGCATAAAACCTTCCCATCTTGTGCCTAAGCTCCTGACCCAGTTTTTTTTGGTTACGACGGACTAGTTTCTTAAGGATGTGGAAAACTAAAAGATCCATATAGGTCATATGGCGGGTCTAAGTGAGCTTCAATAAAAGGCTATTTGACTATTTATCATCGGTTTGTCCCTTCGATTTATGGGTTAGTAAAATATGAAGTTATAAGCCTATTGTGCTTATACCAAAGCTGATTGCGCTTACAACACTTTTCACTTTATTGGATAAAATTTTAGCAATGCACTTGTACACCAGTGTTACAACAAGAAATAGGTCTATAATCACTCACTTTATTAGGGTTGGGGATTTTGGGTATGAAAGCAATAAGGCCATGTTTGTTTGGACGGACTGGATTAGCATTCCCATGACTAATAGTCCTAAGATTACGAATTCGTTGGATTATATATCCTATCTTAACTAATAATCAAGTTTAAAATAATTAGTCCCTACTTCAATTGTTTAACCAAACATTGGATTAATAATTTTATTGGACTATTAGTCCAATCCCAAGCTCATGTCCACCCAAACAAACATGGCCTAAGAGTACTATTCACCTCTTTCAAAAGCTCCCCCTCAGGTGAAAAAGATTTGATGGCAGTGACCACATCTCTTTCTACTAGGAATGAGGTGTGCCATTTTAGAAAATCCATCAATATTTTCAAATATATAATCCGTAGTGTTGTTTTATTGGAAGTGTGCCATACTGTATTTTTCAATGTTTCTCTGCTTAAAAATTGAGAGGGCACAAGTTTAAAAGTGACGACATGTATTGATCTTGTGATGCCTTAATTCATTCTTATTCCTTATGAAACGCAAGGCATCTTTAAACGCAAACTATACGGGTTCTTTATTATTTACTTTGTCAACATGAACTTAGCAAACAACTTGAGAGGAGTTCGTGTTGTCAAAATATTCAAATACAAGTCACATAAGCATTGTTGTAATTATAGGCAACTTATTTTCATCCACAAATATAGCAATTGTGAGCTTTTGACAAGACCAACTTACAACTCCACTTTTATGCTTAAGAACTTCACTGAAATCCTTTCTTTTTTTTCTTTTTTTTTTTTTCCTTTTTCTTTTAAACTCTCTCTGAAGAATTTCCTTCAAATTGTTAATGTGCTTTATGTTCCTTGAACAATTGTGCATGGAGATATCTTCAAACTTCAGCCTGCAAAAATAAAAAAACTAAAATGAGCTTCAAGTAGCCACTAAACTTTTGTAATACTTTTGAATGTACCTGCTTCAAAAAGATATCCAGTCATTCCCTGTTTGCGTAGATTGTTTGAGGTTCACTGCACCATTAAGATAGCATATGTTATATGTGAACTATGGAACCAACAAGATCTCATTTGGTAGTCTTAAAGGTAAATGAAATCAGATATCCTACTTACCCAAAAAAAAGAAAATCAGATATCCTAGAAATATTTTGAATTAATTTGGCTTTCCACTAGACACAAGTTGCTTTGAATCACAAAGTCAACAAACAATTAATACTTTAACAAAGACCAATTTTGAACAAATAGAGACAATATATATATCGCGTGAAAAGCATACTATGTCCATGTAGCATTAGGAACTCACTTGAGATATTGTGGAGAGTTGACTCTGACTTGGTGAGGTTCCTGGCGTTCTGTTTCCCAACATCATGACACTATTGGGCATATTCTCTTCAGCAAGGACCCTTAACCTATTAAGCTCAGGTAACACAACGGTCTTAAGGTCTGGTCTATCTTTCCGCCTCATTTCTGCACATTTAAGAGCTAGCTTGGCAAAGCTCAAGGCCTCCTCCACTGGCCAGTCAGGGATAGCAGGATCAAGATATTCACCAAAACAACCCCTCTCGATTGCTCGTTCAACGTGATGAGTCAAACCCATTGGGGGCTTGGCTGTAACTAATTGGAGCAGCATGATACCAAGTGAGTAGATATCAGACTTTATTCCAAGCATGCCAGTTTGTTGGTACTCTGGGTCTATGTAACAGAAAGTTCCAGCGGTTGAGGTCATGAGATATTGAGTTACATTGTTTGCAACGGATGGAGGGACTAGCCTGGCTAAGCCAACGTCACTAATCTTGCTAACATAGTTACGATCGAGAAGAATATTTGCAGGTTTTAGGTCACGGTGCACTAATGGTTCTGGCTTTGCCTGATGGAGGAAAAGAAGGCCAGTGCCAATTTCTGCAGCAATTCGAAACCTTAGCTGCCAAGGAAGAACTGGTGTGTTCCCTCGTGTGAAGAGACAATCTTCTAAACTCCCATTAGCCATGTACTCATAGACTAGGCAACCATACTCTGGGCAAGCTCCAAGGAGAAGAACCATGTTAGGGTGGCGTATGCAACTCAGGACTTCTACCTGCACTAGAGCAGCAAACAAAATAAGAGCATAACAAAGATAAACACAACCTATGAATAGAAATTGGAGAAAATATCTTGTGACTTCCATCTAAGTCTAACTAGTAGAATTCAAAAAGTGCTAGTACCGGCAGTCAATATCTCTTACTCACACTCTATCCTTAGTTATATATATATATTAACTATTTTACTGCATGAATTTACCTGGTTGTCTTAGTTATGGTCTACTTATCTTGGTATATTACATTGCAAAAGTTCCGCACCTCTTGTTGAAACTGTGACCTTCCTTGAGCTGCATCTGGACGAAGAACTTTTATTGCAACTGGTGTATGATCCAAATAACACTTGTATACTGGCCCATAACCTCCTTCCCCAATTTTGCGCGAGTCTGAGAAGTTGTCGGTTGCTGCTTCAATCTCCTCTATACCATATTTGCGGTACCTGATATCACTTTTTGCCAGCACATCTAGTACCTTCTTCTTCTCATCGGCTGCTTTGAGGGCTTTCATTTCTGCATTAATTCTTTTATGTGCTTCCAATTCAGCAATCCTTTGAGCTGCTTCTGCTGCCTCAATGGCGGCCTTAGTCTTTGCTTTCTCTTTCTCTGCAATTGCCAATGCTGCTTCCCCAGCTAGTCGTGCCTCGTCTAGTCTTTGTTGTTCGTCCATTTTCCAACGATGAAGCTCCATTGCCTGCAACAATAATAGTGCTTTAGAACTCATGCTAGTATATATTTTGGAATATAGATGATTAAACCCAAAAATTAAAATTTCAATTTTGATTGTGATTTTCTATATATAAAGTGCACATCATTTTAGTGTTCTTACATTTATTGTCTTTTTATAATTTGATAAATAAAAAAATTTAGATTATTATTTCAATATGATGGAGGATCAAAGGACGTTACATTTTATCCCCATCATACTTAGGTCACAAAAACAGGTCATCCCTCACATCACATTTGATTTGTGACACTAAACACCTATCTAGCTGTCTAAACTGAAAATGTTAATTCAAAAAATAAATAAATAAATAAAATTAACTACATGGAAGAGAAGGTTTTGTCCATTGACGGTAGAGTGAGTCTTCTCAAATCTAACCTCTCTAATCTGCCTATCTACTATTTATCCTTCTTTAAGATGCTAGAAAAAGTGGACAAGGAAATTTGGAAGATTCAAAGATGCTTTTACAGTTGTAATGAAGTCACAATGGACATGAGGTTGGGTGACTTAGGATTTGTAATCTAAAATTGAAAAATGTGGCACTACTATTGAACTGGTGGTTGATGTTTGGGAGTAAAGACTTAAAGTTTTGGGAAAAAATTGATTTGTGATAAGTATGGTTTGGAGGGTGTTAGATGGGATCCTTATGTTCAAAATAGTGGAAATCTCTTTGTTATATTTTAAATGTTTCAAAAAGGAATTTAACCTTTTTAAAAAAAGTTTTATTTTGAAAGTTGGTGATGGCAAAACTTTTTACGTATTGAGAAGATCATTAGGTTGGCCAAAAATCATTAAAATTGACATTTTCAAGGTTGTTTCTCCTAACTTGCGGCGAGGGTTGCACTGTTGATTTTATATGACGTGGGGATAATGCGACCAAATAAAGGATACAATATAGGAGGAGCTTATTTTTCCAGGAAAATGATGGTCACAACTAGTTGTTGCAACGGTTACAGCCACTTCATCCATTAAACATGAGCAAAAGGGTTCTTTGCTCTGGAAAGCTGAAGCTTCATGTGTGTTTACAGTAAAATCCATGTAGAATTTATACTCATTGCTTTTGGATTGTAATGTTTAATCATTGTTGAGAATGTGGGATATGTTCCATTGAAAGTAACAATTTTTGGATGGTCGATCTGGAATAGAAGAGTTACTACTTGTGACATGCTAAAGTTTAGTGTTTTACCTTCTAATGTCTCGGGTTTGTAATATTTGTGTGTGGAAGAAGAAGAAGAAAATTTTGATCATTTACTGTTGAGATCTAGAAAAGCTTGGGAAATCTGGCTTGCTTGTTTGTATCGGTGGGAAATGGATTTTATTTGTCCTTATTTCATGCAGATTTTTTTTGATTGGAAGGTACATGGTGTTAAATTCAAAAGTTTGAAGAAGATTATATAGGAAGATCTATCGAGGAAAATTATCTAGACATTAAGGAACACGTAAAATGATTGTGTTTGATAGAAACTGCTTCTTGGGGATTTTTCGGAATTAGATAAGATTAGAGTGGCTTTCTTGGTCAAATTTTATTCAAACACAGCTAATTAAATTGTTAGTGACTTTGTCTTTAATCTAGATGGAATGTAAAAAAAGATCAAGATTTAAAATTCTCATTCACGGACATGCGACTACAGGGGCTTTAATGCAGGGGTTGTGCGGAGGTGTGTGATTCACTGGTAGTACGTTTGTTGTAAAGTGGCAGGTGGCAAAGCATTCTTTTAAAGTTCAAGCCATGAATTGAATCTGCGAATAAGGTTTCTACTACTGGAGATGAAGACTTTTCAAGATGTAATTGTAATGTTTGGGGCTAAGGTTGTTGCAATATTGTTCTGGATGTTTGGGTACTGTCTCTTGTTTTCTCTTGTAGGTGTTCTATCATAGGAAGTTGAAGTTGTGTGCCTCAACAATGGTGGTATCAAGCATGGAAGAGGGATTTTGGTTTAGCCAGGAATGTATTTGGGCTCATTAACTGTTGGTCACTTTGTGTATGATTTTGCCCTTATCCTGGTTGGATTGTTTGCCTTGTTGCTCATCCAGCAGGATTTGATTGATTGATTAGGATGTGCCATGTTATTCTTGTCTTTTCTTTTCTTTTCTTTTTTTTGTCAGATGCTTTGTTTGGGATCTTGTCACTCCTTGAAACTTTCTCATTAATCCTTATTAACTCGTTGTCACCATTAATAAAATTTCCTTTTTTGTCAACAAAAAAATAAAATAAAATACTATATCTGTTAATTTCTCCATTCAAACTAATGACACATAATAAAATGCTTAACATACCCGCTTTCTTCTTTTCTCAGCTCTAGCCAGCCACATCTACCCACAACAGCCACCACCTTAGCCACGAAACATCCAGTTATTTGCACGTTCTCTCTTTTTGGCACTCACTTTCTCTCTTCTTAAAACTTTGTGGCATGTTCCATGGCTGAAACCACCATACTAAAACCATATTGATCATCTCCTGGGTGGATTCCTACAAGACATCCCTTCAATCACCTATTGGAACTCTTTTAGCTCCATATATAACTCTAAGCCCATCATCTTAGCAAATTCAGCCACAAACCCCCCCCCCCAAACCCAACTACTCCAACATTGCCAATCAGTGTTCAATTTCACCTAGTAAGTGTGTATTCTACTCTCTGTTTTGATGCAGTAGTTTTTGAGTTGCAAAGACTTCATGTGCCTACTCACAAATGTATGTATAGAATTTATTTTACTTTTGGTAATATATGTATTATAACCTATATATATTGTGATTCTATAAACACTGCAAGAAATTACCAAGACCCCATACCCAAATAACCTGCAATAATGTATAGAGTTTTCTGGAGGCTAGGAAGCGTAAATATGGATACGAGATACGGATACGACACGATACGGGTACGGCGATACAACAAAACCTTAAAAAATAGGATACTGGTACGGTTAGGATACGTTTGTGAAAAATATATTTTTTAAAATTATTAATAGTGAGTTACACATAAGCTAAAGAACGTTGAGAAACTACAATATAATTTTATAATGCAAAATACTAACCTTTAAGAATTTTGTATTAATTTAAACTAGTAGCATATTTACTTTTTAAATTTTTAATAGGTCTTGCAAATATTTCATTTCAATATCAAGTTTGATATATTTATATTACAATAATAGAATAATTCACAACTTGTCCCTATACTTTTTCCTTTGACACTAGTGAAAAATATTGTATTCAAGTTTATTTGCTTATTTATTTATTGATATTTAATTTTAGCATTGTTGTTATATTCTCTTGTTAATTCTTACTTTCTATGTAGTTATAAGAAACATGCATGAAATAATTAAGATACATCAATTTGATAAAATTCTATTATTTAACTCACTATGCTCTTCTTATTGAAGAACTTAACAAAGTATTAGAAAAATATTCTTATATTTATACTTGCAATTATATTATATTATACTACTATGCAAGAAATATTATAATTCTAATTTCATAAAACAAGTAAACATGACTTGCAGTATCCGATACTTCAAAATTAAGTATCTGATACTCCAAAATTAATAAAAAAATAATTAAGAAGTATCTGATACTTTTAATAAGTATCCGATACGTATCCGCGAGTATCCAAGGAGTATCGGTATCCGATACGGATACAATACGGATACGTCACCCTATTTGAAGTATCCGTGCTTCATAGTCTGGAGGTCATGAATAAATAAGGCAAAGGCAAACGGCACTAGTAGGCGACATGGCACATGTTTGTTGATATGAAATTTGGTCGGGACATGAAAAATGATGTCACAACCAATATCTATCGCTTTGCCATGGTGTACAATGGATTTCGGCCAAATTCCAATATCCATCACAACCAATATCCATTGATTTTTTCGTTTTTGGATTTACTTTTTAAATTTTTAATAGGTCTTGCAAATATTTCATTTCAATATCAAGTTTGATATATTTATATTACAATAATAGAATAATTCACAACTTGTCCCTATACTTTTTCCTTTGACACTAGTGAAAAATATTGTATTCAAGTTTATTTGCTTATTTATTTATTGATATTTAATTTTAGCATTGTTATATTCTCTTGTTAATTCTTACTTTCTATGTAGTTATAAGAGACATGCATGAAATAATTAAGATACATCAATTTGATAAAATTTTATTATTTAACTCACTATGCTCTTCTTATTGAAGAACTTAACAAAGTATTAGAAAAATATTCTTATATTTATACTTGCAATTTTATTATATTATACTACTATGCAAGAAATATTATAATTCTAATTTCATAAAACAAGTAAACATGACTTGCAGTATCCAATACTTCAAAATTAAGTATCTGATACTCCAAAATTAATAAAAAAATAATTAAGAAGTATCTGATACTTTTAATAAGTATCCGATACGTATCCTCGAGTATCCAAGGAGTATCGGTATCCGATACGGATACAATACGGATACGTCACCCTATTTGAAGTATCCGTGCTTCATAGTCTGGAGGTCATGAATAAATAAGGCAAAGGCAAATGGCACTAGTAGGCGACATGGCACATGTTTGTTGATATGAAATTTGGTCGGGACATGAAAAATGATGTCACAACCAATATCCATCGCTTTGCCATGGTGTACAATGGATTTCGGCCAAATTCCAATATCCATCACAACCAATATCCATTGATTTTTCCGTTTTTGGAAATAACTGATTCGTCAACTACTTGGTCTAGATGAATTCGTCAATATCCATCGCTCTTCCCAACACAAGTATTTTTAATTATAGTTTCCAAATTTGAGCTTAACTCAAATCTTTCTATTTTTAGCAATTTTCGTAATTTCTTTGATTTGGCCTTGATTAGTGAGCGTTACCTTTTATGGCTTGTTTCCTAAGTTAATTGGAGTTTGTTCTATTATAAATAGGAGCTATAAGGCTTGGGGAAAACCAGATTATTTTGGAGAATAAAATTTATATAAGAGAGAGCATCTCTTTTTCTATCAATTCGTGGTTGTTCTTGGTTGTTCTTTGTGTTTGAGTGCTCATCCCATTACCTTCCTGCATCAGGGTCTTAGCATAATTAACTCTGTAACAGTGGGGTCAGTGTCACATTTTAAAATTCAAGGTCTCGTGTTTTGTCACTAACAAAAGGGGGTAAAATGTAATTTATCCCAGATTAAAAATCATAGCAAAATCAAAACTTTAACCACAGCTCAGTACCTTCTGTTTTGCTGTAAGTGCTTCTTTACAGGCTGAGCTGTACATGTCCATCGTTTGCTTGAGTTCTTGCTTAAGCCTCCTCATCTCAGCTTCTACATCATCCTAGAAAATTTGTAAGTATTTAGTACAAGCATTCTACACTTGATCCAGGCCATTACATATATATATATATTGATGCCCAAACCTGCCCCACACCTGCCATTATGACTGATGTGGGCCAGAGCAAACTGTGGAAAGTTAGCGGGTCCACCTTAAAACCCCCGGCTTCCACTTGAATGTAACCGGGATTCAGATCCTAGCAACAAGGAGAGGAGCAAACTCCCGTACCACTAGGACAGTCACCGCGGTGGTCTATTACAAATATTATGATCAAACTTATGGTTGTATATTTTTGGTTAGTTGGGCAGTCTAATTTATAATTGTTTCCTGAAATTGCAATAGCAATTGTATGAGCATACCAGGTTTTGTGATGATGACCATGACATACTGGCACTTTCTGAGCTGGAGGAGTAGCCCTGCATAAAACCTGGATCAAATGACTTGGATGCTGAGAATGGGGACCCAAAGTTTCTGTTGTCCGTATCTGAGCCATATGAAAGTCGAGGGGCTGCTGCACCCACACCCAATTCTTGAGTGTCAAAGGGAGAGGCGAGCACACGATCAGTGCTTCGTCTTTCAGAACTCACGAACGATATGTCGGTATCGAACATTGAGAGCTCCCCATATGATTTGTTTGAATTTTTACTTCTGTCGAATGGTGACCTGTATCAATAGTTATCAACTTTCTGTAGTTATATCACATACCCATCGAGTTTCCATTTCCTCGTACATAATAAACTTGGTTCAAGTTATTTATTTATGAAAAAGTGCCTGACTCCAGGCCCCCTAGTGAGCTGTGATTGGTCTGTTTTTCTTTTTCTTTCTTTTTCTTTTTTTTTTTTTTTTTTTTTTTTTTTTTTTTTTTTTTTTTTTTTTTTTTTTGATCCAATGACCAACCTGGTTGGAGACTGGGCACCTCAATCAAAACTGTTTATTTATTTATACTATTATTTTCCATACATCACTTTCTTTGAATTTTGCCTTATATGCATCGACTACTTCCAGTAAGCACATGAAGTACATTTGTTTGGAGGGATCAGAGTATGGATAGAACTCACCGTCTGGTAAATAAAATAATCTATTGTTTTGTTTAAAAATTTTACAGCAGACTATGAGTTCATTCGAATTAATAGTCTTTTATATATGAGACAACTCTGTCCAAAACATGTGAGATAGAAAACTCAAGATTATGATTATCAATTGTGAGTTTATTGAAATAAAATTAAAATAACAACCAAAATAAAATCTATATAATTTTAGAAAATTAAAAATAAAATTAAAAGTTCAATTTATTTAATTAGAAATTAAATTAAATTTTCAATTTATTTAAAAGTTAAAATTAAAATCAAATTAAAAAATCTCAACTAAAATTAAAATAAATTTATATAATTTTTATTGATATTCTATTTATTTAATGTTTTAAAAGTTCTAGTAAAAAAATTAAATAAAATAGGACACACATTGGATTCAATAGAATGATTCAATCCAAATATCTAATTTCACGACTAAACAAACATAAGATTCAATAGATAGTCTAATCTAGACGTCTAATCTCATGATTAAACAAATATAGGATACAAATTCAATCCAATTAAATAGTTCGAGAATAATATATCCCAAAATTAATACTCTGATAGATTATAATCCCTTCTTATCTAGTCGGTCTAAACAAACCCACTCATACTTCCCATTTATAGATCTTGTAGGCCAAAACAGTACCCAACTTGGCTTCATCATTTGGTTTTAATTTTTTAATTTAATTTTTTTGAAAATTAAATTTTGTTATTTTTTGTATTTTTTTAATTTTTAGTGAGTATTTTTAAAATTTTAAGTAATTTTTTTTATTTTTTTAAAAACACCTTACTTAAATATATCTAATAAATAAAATATTTTAAAAAATCAATAAATACATAAGAATAAAAAAATATATTGAATTTTTATATTTTTGATATTTAGTGAACTTTTTATAAACTTTTTTCATAAATATTATATTTTTTAAGTGTATTTATATTAAGTGTATCTAAAAATTTTAAAAATTAATAAAAATAAAAAAAACCCAAAAAATAAAAGATTTTAATTTTCTACAAAAGTGAATAAAAAAAAAAAAAACTCAAACCAAACAAAATGCTTTTTATGGGCAAGATTTTTGTATTTTGGGATCATTTGGGAACAAGTTAAAAACTAATTTTTAACCCATTTTAAATCACATCACATCTCACATAAAAAAAGTAAAAAAAAAAAAAAACTAAAAAATCAATTTTTAATCAACTTTCCAAATCACCAGTTTGTTCGGTTAGAGCCCAGCCTTTTGCTTTCAGCAATAGAGCGAGGTAGTACAAATCATCTGCACCAGATAACGGGAAGAAAGCTTCTATCTCTAAAATTTTGAGAGAAAGAACTTCCTCCCATTTGGATTCCAAACATTGGCACCAGTTTGAGAGAGAGAGAGAGAGAGAGAGAGAGAGAGAGAGAGAGAGAGAGAGAGAGTTTGGGTTGATTTTGAATTGATCCATGTGTTAGAAGGGTTTGTTATAATTAATGTCATATTTACATTAGGTACATTGGATACATTGAGTTCATACATTCTTTGTATTCATGTATTTCATATTTATTAAGTACATTGTCTAGATTATATTCATGTACCTAGTTAATTGCAAGGTTATTTAGGTTCATGGATCTTATTCATTGAACTTATGTATAACATTCTCTATATAAAAAGATGTAAGCCTATGTGCAAAGGATATGAATAATAAGAGAGAAAAATTCAATACAAAATAATAGTTCATTCTGGAAAGAGTTTTATCAAAAGCTAATAGAAGTGATATCAGAGCTTTGGTTGGGTCAAGAACAAGCTGGGCGTAGAGATCGGATACGAGAAAACAAGCCCCGAACAAGAACAAACCGACATCCATGGTGAATCCCAACAACCAAAATGTATCTACTCCTATATTTAATGGTAAAAATTTTGATTTTTGGTATTTGAAAATAAGAACTATTTTTGTCTATACGGATCTTTGGGATCTTGTTGAAAATGGGTTCGAGAAACCTGAAGATGAAGGAGCTTTGACAAATCCCCAAAAGAACCAATTAAAAGAGCAAAGGAAGAAGGATTCAAAGGCTCTCTCTTTTATTCAACAAGGAGTTTCAGAAGCAATCTTTCCAAGAATTATCAATACAACAAAAGCGAAAGAGACATGGGATATTCTTTAGAAAGCGTATAGAGGCAACTTCAAGGTAAGAACCATCAAACTTCAATCATTGAAAAGAGATTTTGAAAATTTAAAGATGAAGGATGTGAAATTGTTGAAGGATTATTTTTCTAGGGTTATGGAACTTGTAAACCAAATGAAAATTTATGGGGACAGTATTACTAATGAAAGAGTTGTTGAGAAAATTTTGATAAGTTTGTCGGAGAAATACAATCGTATTGTTGCTGTCATTGAAGAAACTAAAGATCTTGCTAATTTGAGTATTGAAGATTTGATGGGTTCAATTAAAACATTTGAACAAAGGTTGAGTAAGCAATCTGAAAAGTCAATTGAAAGTGCCTTTCAATCTAAGCTTAATGTTAGTACCTCTAATTCCCAAGGAAAAGGAAGAAGAAGAAATGCAACCGGAAGAGCAAGAAATGCAAGAGGAAGATGAAGGTCTAATTTTCAAAGAAAGGAAAATGAAGAGTCCACTCAACAAAAGTGTGGAACTTGCAACTGAAGCAATCGTGTTGATAAAGATTGTTGGTTTTGAGGAAAGCCAAAATATTACAATTACAACAAATTTGGACATGTCAAGAAGGATTGCCAAGTTAAGAGCACTCAACAAGCTAATTTTTCCGAGGAGCAAGAAAATGAAGGGTACATGTTCTATGCTTGTCACAAGGCATCAGATCAAAACAAGAATGTATGGTTTCTTGATAACGGATGTAGCAATCACATGACAGGAGATGAGAGCATTTTTGTGAAAATGGATGCTTCCTCCAGTTCTCAAGTAAAAATGGGGAATGGTGCCTTAGTCCAAACAAAAGGAAAATGTACTATTGCTATAGAAACCAAGATGGGTACAAGATTCAATTCCAATGTTCTCCTAGTTCCAGACTTGGAGCAAAATTTGCTAAGTGTCGGACTACTTATGGAGCATAGATATCTTGTTTACTTTGAAAACGATTTTTGCGAAATTTTTGACAAAGGGGGAAAAACCAAGTTGTAGCAAAAATCAAGATGGAGAAGAATAGAAGTTTTCCTCTCATTTTTCGATATAGCAAAAATGCGGATTTGAAGATGGATGTGGTTGATAATGCATGGCTTTAGCATAGAAGATTTGGACACTTGAATTTTCAAAGCTTGAAGCATCTACAACAAAAGAATATGGTTTTTGGGTTGCCAACCATTCATGAAGTGCAACATATTTGTGAAGGTTGTGCACTTAGAAAGTATCACCGAGAGTCATTTCCAAAGGAGAAAGCATAGAGAGCTAAACTACCATTGGAGCTTGTCCATACCGATGTGTGCGGACCCATGGATACACCAACTCATGGAGGTAACAAGTACTTCATTATCTTTGTTGATGATTTTACTAGAATGACTTGGGTGGTAGCCATGACAAACATACCCGTGTTTGGGAGTTCAATCCGTGCAGTTATGCTTTTGTAGCTGAGGAAACTCATTATACCTTCTCTTCTTTAGATCTTGCAAACTTACAAAATAGATCGATGGTTCCAGTGGTGCTTGATTGGGCAATAGGGAACCAAAGATGTAATGAAGCCAAAAAAAATCTAACTAGTTTTGCTTGCAAGGCTAATAGCGACTGTTATGACTTTGACAATGGTCCTGGGTATCGCTGCAATTGCTCCCAGGGATATGAAGGGAACCCTTATTCTCCTAATGGTTGTACAGGTAACAACAACTATGTTGAAAGCTTTCAATTTCTTCTTAATTGTAGCTATCGAATTTGGCATCAAAGATCAAACTTGGTGGTGAAGTGAGGCACAAGCTTGATGAAAATAGTAAGAAATGCATCTTTGTGGGTTATAGCTCAAAATCCAAAGGCTATAGACTCTTCGGTTTGGATCAAAAGAAGGTGATTATTTGTAGAGATGTTCTCTTTGATGAGAAGGCGTCTTTTGATTGGAAGGAAAAGAAAGTCCAAAATCAAAGCATTGCTTTCAATGAAGAATCGAGAAGTCCACAAGTTGAAGATGTTGCAACTCTTGAATCTCCACAAAGAGGGTCACCAATTGCTAGTTCACATTCTTCTCCAAGTTCAAGTTCAAGTTCAAGTTCTTCATCTCCAAGTTCAACTCCAAGAAATATAAGGAGTATTAGTAATGTGTATGCAAGATGCAATTTATGCATTGTGGAACCTGAAAATTTTGAAGAGGCAATTAGAGATGAAGCATGGAAGAAAGCTATGGAAGATGAAATTCATGTGATTGAGAATAACAAGACTTGGGAGCTACTGAAGAAACCGAAAGGAAAAGAAATAATTGGTGTGAAGTGGATTTTCAAAACAAAGTTCAATTTGGATGGCTCTATTCAAAAAAACAAAGCAACACTTGTGGCAAAAGGGTATTCACAACAACCTGGAATTGATTTCCAAGAAACTTTTGCTCATGTGGCTCAACTTGGTACAATTAGAGCTATCATTGCTTTGGCTGCTCAAAAGGGTTGGTTCTTGCACCAACTTGATGTAAAATCAGCATTTTTGAATAGAAAATTAGAAGAAGAGGTGTTTATTGATCAACTTCAAGGTTTTGTTGTCAAAGGTAAAGAAGATAAAGTGTACAAGTTGAAGAAGACTTTATATGGCCTAAAGCAAGCACCCCAGGCATGGTATAGTGAAATTGATGCTTACTTCAATGAAAAGGATTTTCAAAGAAGCAAAAGTGAGCCAACTTTGTACATCAAGAGGCAAGGTACAACCGGTATTCTCATTGTTTCACTTTATGTTGATGATTTGGTTTTTACCGATAGTGATGAAAAATTGATTGAAGATTTTAAAAGGGAGATGATGAAGAAATATGAAATGAGTGATTTGGGGCTATTGCATCATTTTTTAGGCATTGAATCTACCAAAACAATGGTGGTGTTTTTATTTGCCAAAAGAAATATGCTCAAACACTTATTGAGAAATTTAAAATGAAGAATTGCAAAGCAGTTGCTACTCCCTTGATTGTGAATGAAAAGTTATCAAAGGAAGATGAAAGCAAAGATGCTTCATCTTGAGAAATTTAAAATGAAGAATTGCAAAACAGTTGTTACTCCCTTAATTGTGAATGAAAAGTTGTCAAAGGAAGATGAAAGCAAAGAAGCTGAAGCATCTTGTTATAGAAGTTTGGTTAGATGTTTGTTGTACTTAACTGCTACAAGACCGGACATCATGTATGGTACAAGTTTATTGTCTCGGTTCATGCACAATCCAAGCCAAATTCATTTTGGGGTTGCAAAAAGAGTATTGAGAGACATTCAAGGTACACTTCATAATGGAATTTTTTATGAGAAATTTGTTGATGCAAAGTTACTTGGATTTTGTCATAGTGATTGGGTCGGATGTGTTGATGATATGAGAAGCACTTCTAGGTATGCATTTTCTCTTGAATCGGGCGTAATTTCATGGTCATCCAAGAAACAACAAACTGTGGCACAATCATTTGCTGAAGCCGAATATATTTCAGTATCATTGGCAACTACACAAGCAATTTGGCTAAGAAGAATTTTGGATGATTTTGGTAAGAAGCAAAGTGAAGCTACTCTAATTATGTGTGATAACAAGTTTGCTATTGCTATGGCAAAGAATCCCGTCTACCATTCTCGTACCAAATACATTGCTATCAAACATCATTTCATTAGAGAAGCTGTGGAAGATGATGAGATTCAAATCAAGTATTGCAAGACTGAAGATCAAGTTGCGGATCCTTCACCAAACCTCTACCAAGGGACAAGTTTGAATTTTTTAGAGAAATGTTGGGTATCACACAATATGGCATTAAGGGGGAGTGTTAAAATTAATGTCATATTTACATTAGATACATTGGATACATTGTATGCATTGGATACATTGAGTTCATACATTCTTTGTATTCATATATTTTTATATTCATGTATTTTATATTTATTAAGTACATTGTCTAGATTATATTCATGTACCTAGTTAATTGCAATGTTGTTTAGGTTCATGGATCTTATTCATTGAACTTATGTATAACCTTCTCTATATAAAAGGATGTAAGCCTATGGGCAAAGGATGTGAATAATAAGAGAGAAAAATTCAATACAAAATAATAGTTCATTCTAGAGAGAGTTTTATGAATAGCTAACAGGGTTGCTAGCTAATTCTTGCAATCGGTGTCGGATCATGAGTTGCTCTGTTTAGCTTGCAACCATGGAAAAGTTGGAGGTCATGTCTACTCAGGCCTTTTATCTTGTGTTGATTGCTTTCTAACCAGCCTCGGTTTTTGATTTGGAGCTTGCAATCATGGAGAATATGTTCTTAAATATTCTTATGGATGTTAGGTACATGAAGAATCTCCCAGATTGCCTCATCTTCTTCGAGGTATTTGGGAGAATCATATTTTTTGAGGTTCGTGTACTGATGTTGCCTTTGGTAGCATTAGTGAGGGCCTCGGTCATGTTTTTTATGATTTTTGGTGGGTGTTTATCGAATAATTATTGTTTGGAGCAAGCTAAGGTGGTGCTCTAACTTAGTTGTTTTGATTAAATTAGTACAATTTATCAATCTTACATCTTCATGTAACTTAATTGGGCATATCTTGAGCCACTTCTATCATGGCTTGATAGTAATAGAGGAAGTCACTATTTTAGGGAATTGAGGCTCCATGATTAGTTTGGTAGAGACTGGAAGGCGTATAGATTATTTGGTTTGCTCTGGTTAATGGTGATTTTTATGTGTACCATGTCCAAATGTGTTCTGTTGCTGCGTGGGTTTATTTTGGCTGTCCACTGGGATTGGATCTAGTGTGTTTTTGTTGTTGAGCTCCCATGCAACTGTCTACAACCTAAGTTGTGAGGATCATGTTTGCAGTATCTCTATCTTCATGTGACCTGTCCAGGTACTAGTCTTGAGTCACTTCTGGCATGGAGTGAAGGGGACACTACTGCAGGGCTTGTGTCTTTGTAACTAGCCATGGAAAGGACTGGGTGACCAGTACTCATATGGTTTTTGTGGATTTGATTGTTATACAGGGTGTTAGCGGCTGCACTGGGTATGTTTTTGTGGCCTAATTTGGAAATTGTTTAGTTCTTTTGTTGAGCACTTGTGCGGCGGTATACAACTTAGTTGAGTTTTGTTGTGTCTACAGCCTCTCTATCTTCATGTGACCCATCCTGGTATTGGTCTTTAAGCCACTCTTGACATGGAGTGAAGGGCACGTTACTGTGAGGATTGAGGCTTTGTGATTAGCTGAGGAAGGGACTGAGGGATGTGTTGAGTGCTCACATGATGTGTGCATCTTTACCTATTACATATTTGTTGTGGTTACTCGTGGTTCGCTGTACTCCCTTAGACTGTTGATTATGGTAACTAACCATGTGAGTTTCATGTGACTCCATCAGGCTCTTTCATGATGTAGACTTTTTCCTCTGTCATGGCTTTGGTTGAGTGGCTATGGAAGTCGCGACTATAAGGTGCGAGATGTTTATTGGGCTCCATGTTTTCATCCATGGTTAAGACTGGGAGTATGTGGAGGCAGTTATCATGTTTTGATAGGCTTGGTGATTGTTTTAGCTTGTTTTCTCTTGTTTCTGTAGGTGTATCTTTTAGATACTAAATAGTTTTATGTAGTTTCTTGTTTGTATACTTGCCCAAATATCTTCCCTAAGTTCTCATCTATTATCTTTTGATGGAAGGGCAACTTGGGAATATAAAAGATATATGGTAAATGTGTTGAAATTTTGTTACTGTTATCATAGGATTTCATTTTGTTAGCATTGCTTATCTATTACTCCTAATTTCTTCGTCTTCTTCACTGATGGCATAAGTAACTAGGGACAAAATACTAGCAACACATTTGATCGTAGTTTTGTTTAGTACTTCTTCCCTATCTTAGGGGGTGCTGTAGAAAATTTGTTTGGTTGTAAGAATAGCCTTGGGTATGCCTCTTATAAACTTGTATATTTCATTGTTTTATTTTATGACTTACTTACCCAAAAAAAAAAAAAAATGCACTAAATAAGGCACTTATTATTATTATTATAATTATTTCTCTTTTACTAGAATTTACTAATGGGAATATCAGATAAAGAGGAAATGAGAAAACTAATTGCAAATCAATGAAATGTTGCAAGTGAGACATGTTCTGGTGCATAATACATCCTTTCATTCCATTGATTTGCATTTGATCTTCTCATTTCTCATGAATCTTTTTTTTTTTTTTCAATCAATTAGTACTTACCTGATCTCTACGTCTTCTATTAAGTTGCGAGGTACAAATGGTGTCCTGTCAGTTGCTGAAATGAGATCCAAATATTTGTATTAGCAATGAAGAAAGCTCAATTGGATCATAATAAGCTGAGAAATATATAACATGAAGATACTATAATACAATCATAGAATCAGACCTCTTATGCCATTGTTTTGCATGTAACGTGCATCCCCTAGATTGAGAATTGGATTGCTTTGGTTCTGTTGTGGGCGGGGAGGTGGGTTTGGGACTGGAATAGTAGCAGACCGTACTGATAAAATTTTTCCTTTAGCAATGACATATACACTGCAAAATTCTGGTGCCCCTTTGGAAACATTGGTTGGAACATCTGAGGTCTTGAATCTTCTGTCACAAAAGATTATCAATGACCATTTTCATTGTAATTTACTGTCTCTGTAAGTTGGCTAAAAACTAGTTCACAATTATGATTATAAACCACTTTTGTTTATTTTGATCCAAGATACATGTTTGTTTTTTTGTTTTTTTGTTTATGTCAAAAAACTTATACATGTTATTTATCTGAAACTATGGCATGTACTCTTATTACACACAATCGATAAATACTTTAAAAAAATCATCCTGTTAGCTCCAAGGATGATTAATAGACCATCTCTAGTGGTGAATAATAGGTGTCGAAATCTTATACATTTAGGTTCTCCAAAAGTGCACTTTCGAGTTCATGTGATCCCTTGTTACTTGAGGTTCTTATGTTGTTTTTGGTATTTGTAGGTTGTTCAAGATTTTGTATTCAAATCATCTCAATTGGGAGCTCTTGAAGGATTAATGGAACATATGGAGGGATTCGATTGGAGCTTTGGGCTTTTGAACTGTTGCAAAACTAGAAGCAACAGATGAAAAAGTGCTTACGGCTCAAATTCGCACGTGCAGAGCTACAGTTCGGCACAAGCGGACTTCCTAGACTTAGTAAAAATTTGAAGAACTCTTCAGCCTTTTCACTAGATAATTCCACTAGAGCAGAATTGAGATTTTCACATGCAGAAAAAGACACTAGTTTAGTTCAGGTTTTATAACTCCGGTTTTAATTGGGATTTGACCCAATGGGATGGAGGCTTATAAATAGATCTCTTTAACTGCAAGAAAAAGAGTCTTCAACCCAACAAAATGTCAAAAGAGTTGGAGAATCAAGCTTTCCAAGAACCATCCATGGAGTTCTCATCAAAGTAGTTGATTCCACCTCAACCATGGGTAACTAATCTCTCTCCTTAGTGTTCAAAATAAACATTAGTCAAGTAACATTGGATGACTTGTATATGTATTTTGGGGTTGATTATTTACTCATAGTGATTGTTTAACCTTGAGATTCATTTTTTAAAATTCATTTTCAATGTTAGATTCAATTGTTGTGTTGAATTTTTGTGATTTAAATACAAAGGTTACACAATAGTAATATTAATCATGTTTTGATTATCAGCTAACCCATGCTTAGAGTGGATGAGATGTCCTACAACCCTAGTTTAGTGTAGGCATCTCGAGCCAATCGAGGATGGTTCATGCTTGATTTTCAATATATGATTTCTCCGGGAGATCTCATTGAGATCATAGTCATGACAATTAATTTTTGGAATCGATACAAAGCCCATGTTACAAGGCTTGTGATGGATTCAAAACTCTAAGCTCTTCCATACTTGATTTTCACTTCATTTAATTTTAAATTCAATAATTTCTTTGGTTAATTTAGATGAAAAATAACTATTCTTCTCACTCGAATAAACTAAGAATCGATTTTCAAGGTGTAAACAACTCAACCTTTTGGTCCCTATGGATACGACACCCATACTTTTCCACCAACTCATTTTAGTTTGTTATAGGTTCTTGATTATGACACAATAAGTTAATGTTAAATGGTAAGGTCTAAACCTAAATGTTACAATGTTAAAATGATATAATTTGACAATCTTGTTCTAATGGTGGAAACTGTTTTTTTGTTGGAAATTACTTGTGGGTTACATCATGAGAGAGGTGGAGAGAGAGTTTCATTATATCTTGGCAACTATAGAACTTTGTCATATTTGGACAAGGTTTGACATGCTATAATTTGAAAATACTTTTATGAGACCATTGGAGACAATTTTCAGAGGTTATATTGGTAAGGGTTATTATGAGAACCCATAAATTTCTAAATTATTTTATCAAATATTTTGTGCATAAATATCCTGTATATTAACTTTGTCAATAAATTTCCTATTAGAATACCTATTTGACACCTCTCACTATATAAATTATTTTTACCACTCTTTCTTCTTTATATATATATATATGAGTGTGTAAGAGAGGGGGTGGCTGAATGTGCTTGCTCCCTCCCTTTCCTCCCACACTTGTGTTGCTTTTTGTATTATATATATAGATGTAATCTTTAGGTGTAAGACTAGAGACCTAGCGTATGAAAAAGAGAGAGAAGAAAGAATAGATAATGAGGAAATGAGCTTCTGACTTAGAGGGGGTTTTCCTAATTTTACCTGCGGTACGATAATTGAACCTCACCCATCTTCCTTTATCATTTTAATTTTGTTACTATACACATCTTGATAATAAATAGCATGATAGGAAGAGAAATGCATGAGAAATGCATGAGAATTTTCAACTACAAAAAAACCTCCCCTCTTTCTCTCTCTAAAAACCTCCTTCCCAGGCCTCATTTTGGGGTTGGCCGGCCGCCACCTTTGGCTATGGAGGTCGGCTGGCCCAGTTCTTTTAGTGTTTTTGTTTGTTAATTTTCCATTTAATAAACTTGATTCTCCCATTATTTTCCCACAGGTGCTGCGCAGGCTGCCGTAGTTCTTGCTTGGTTTTTTGGGTGTTTTGGTGACGTTTTGGTTGTTCACTAGGTCGGCAAAGAGGACGATCCAGATCTGGTTAGGATGTTCATTCGGGCACTTCTTTGCGCGTAGAAGTTTGAGGGGTGTTCTCCGCTCAGATCTATGGAGGTGTTTCGGTGTTTTGGTCGGGAGGAAGCATTAGTGTCGAAGATGATCCGGATCTGTGTAAGATTTCATTCGAGCGCTTCTATGCGTATGGGAGTTTGAGGGGTGAGCGTCGTCCAGATGTGTGGTGGTATCTCAGCGGTTGTTTTGAATAAGAGGAGTTCGGCGTTGGGTCATCAATATAGGGACAGTGGAGTAGTACCTGCAGTGGGTCTTGTTGTCATGAGTGTTGATCGACCTTGGGTGTGTTCAGAGTTTTGAACCACCGCGTCGGAGAGGTGTGGCCTTGGGTGTTGTCCATGGGTGTAGTTGGGTGTTGGCAGTGTGTTGTCCGGAGTGGGCCTTCGCTGGGCAGTGGAAGTGAAGCAGCATGTGGAGTATAGCAGCGTGGGTGGTAAAGATATAATAGTAGTATAGCAGCTTGGAGATGTCAGGCATGGGAGTTCTTCCAGCAGTGGTGATGTTGGCTATGGATTTTTCCGGCCAGAGAAGCGTGGTGAAAAGATTTACCAGGTGGGAGTTGGGAGGTGCAGAGGAGCGTGGTGTACAGATTTAGCAGTAGTAGCAGGTGGGCATTGGGCTTTGGGAGTTGTCAGGCGTGGGTGTGCAGCAAAATGCATGAGATATGCGCTTGAGATCCAAAATTTCATCCTCTTTGAATTTTGAATGCTATTATCTCTCTATGTGGTTGGTTAAGGAGATCTATTGGTTTCTTTAATTGGAGTATTAGGATTTTTTTAGTATTTTTAAATGCTCTTAGTGATTTGGGGGTTCAGATGTGGTTATTAGTAGGCATCAGGGGCCTCTATGGTGACAACACTTCTTATCAAAATTTGACAGCATTATGCTAAGTTTTGGGGGCTTTAAAAATCCAAATAAAAATTCAAATGGTCTTATTTTTCAAATTTGATTTTACTGGATTCTTTTATATGTGTTTTTATATATGTGATTCTTTATTAAAAAAAAAAATATATATATATATATATATATAAGAAGGAGAAGAAGAAGAAGAAGATTGGGTTTCGTTTTAACCCCAAAAAACCCACATTCTTTTCATTGTTGTCTAGAACACAACAACAACATCTAATTTGAAATAGCAACTATTTATTTCTCAAGAAATATTTTTGGGTGAAGCCACTTTCGAAAAGTTTGGTTTATGTGTTATATTTCTAATTAACCTTAATTGAATTGATTTCATTAAGTATCAAGGGAGATTTGGTCATTCTATGTAAGTGCAACAATAGTGGGTAGTGTTTCATGATTTTTTTTTTCTTTTAGTAAATGGGTTTAACGCATGGTTTATGTCATTACTTTCTTGACTTAAAATTCGATATCCTCATCTAAAATCAACACTTTCAAACTTTGTTTGATCGGTTTTTTCAATTTTCTTTGAAAGTGCATCGTGCTAAAAATGTTGTCAATGTGTGAATAATTATCCAAAGTGTAGATTTCTCTCGCATAAGTGCTTAACTCCTATTCAGATTATCTCATCTGTATACACCATGTCGAACCTTTTTCTGCCTTGGGATTGATTTGGGTAGACTAAGAGGGCTTGCAAAATTGAACTTGTAAAAACTCAAATAGCATGACGATAACACCAATTAATTAGGGTGGGTCTTGGCTTTGGAAATCTTGCGTATGTGGTGTTGTGGTACTCAAAGCTTAGGTTGGAACATAGGCACTATAGTTGGCAATGGGGTGGCCTTGTGGAGCACATATGGGATTCCTTGTGGTAGGCTAGAACTAACAAATTCTGACACGACTTGGGTATGCAACCCTGAAAGTGGGCATCTTGGATGGAATTTCAAAGGAAATGACACCAGTTAAAGGATTGTGCAAGAGCGGTACTCCACGATTACCCTAGTTGGACTTAGACTTAGTTAACAAACTCTAGGCATTTTACTAATGTACTTGTGTTATTATTGTTGAATTGTTTTTTTTATTGTTGATTGTATTCTGCTATTGTTATCATTTCTTGTGTTATTATTTCCATTGAGCTATGAATGGGTAGTCTGTCGGGTTTTTCTGTAATCTATTGGGCTTTGTAGCTACTAGCAATTTATGCTAGGTTATGACAATGAAGACAACTAGACATGGAGTTGAATAATAACAACCCTATAAACCTTGACTAACTTGAAGCTCGGTTGGATCAACATTATTTCCCTTTTGTTTTATGACGTAATACTCTGTGATTTTGCTTAATATTCTTCCTTGGACTGTAATTGTATGATTAAGTTTGGTTTTAGAAGTGGTTTGTAACTGGAAAATTTTAAGTTTTAATTTATGTTGTTGCTTGATTTGAAGAATTTAGGATGTTATTTTGGAGAACTATTCTTGTGATTGTTTTATATCATTGATGCCCAATTTTGGAGGCATCACAATTATACCAAGCCACGCTCACATGGATCAATCTATTTGAGTCTCAATATTAGTATTTCATATATTTTTCTATAAGGTTTATTCCCCCATTTTAAGAAAATGAAAATTTGTTCTTGAGGCAATCACTGATTAGCTAACATTTGCTTTTGTTCTTTCATATTTTGCATGCATAATTGTATACATCATGAGAGAGAGAGAGAGAGAGAGAGTATTGCTAACCCTTAGATGGTATAGTAAAAGTAAATCGAAAAGTATCCGAGTGGTTATTACCTAACAAAGCTGTTCTTTGAAGGGGCGCCAACCACTAGAGTATCAATTAAATTGACCCTAACATAATCACACAAGACTTTGGCTACATCCATGTCTTCCAAGATGATTTCATTACATTTTATCTGCACCAAAATGCAATCATCAAAGAAGGAAATAAAAAAATTAAATTTTGTTTCCATTTATGTTACTTTCTTAGTTGAAAGTGAAAACATAATAGCTTGTTTTGTTGTGTTTTTGCTTTCATTGTTTTCATTTTTCTTAATTTTGAAAATTAAAATAATGAAAAGTTTGAAAACACCAACGGCTTGCATTTCTGTGTAGATATACTTAAAAATGAGATGGTTTTAGAATTTTTTCAAAAAACAATATTCGGAAGCAATTCACTAAACAATTTTAATACATTTTTTATAAGCAAGTAGTTTGTCTTTGGTCAAAGCATAAATATGAAAGATCCAATTCAATCATCAGATTGTACCATATGCTGGCTTAGATTGGGTAAGAAATGGCTATAGTTTGGGTAAGAAATTTGAGCAATGAGATTGGAAAATCATGATGTGGCACGATCTCATTGATTGAACTAGACCATCCAGTTTGTTCTTGCACTGGAAATAAGCTACTTCCTCTCATATATTGAAAGCAAAGAAAAAAAAAAATACAGTTAACCAGACCCGAACTACTAAACTTCACCGAAAGTTAGTGTATCCTATTTAGGCTAGAGACCAAACGTAGTGACACCATTTTATTTTTTTTTTATCGGCAAAAAAAAAAAAACTTTATTGGTGGAATAAATAAGTACATAGTACAAAGCGAATTACATCAATAAAGTAAAAGCGAAGTACATAGTGACACCAATTACTTACCAAAAAACCTTCCAACAAAATTAATTTAGTTTGAGGTCAGACTAGCCATAAATGGATCTCATACAATTTTGATTGTACCGTTGCAATAACTAGTTTATTGCTTTGTTTTTGTTTTCTTTTCCTTTTATCAGTTAGTTACTTTATTGCAAGATTGTAAAGAAAATTGTGTTATGAATGAAGAAAATATTTATTTAAAAAAAAAGAAGAAGAAGAAGAAGAAGAAAAGAAGACGAATAAGAAGAAGAAAGAGGAGAAAATAGTCCAAACTCACATCCTTACGTGTACAGAAGGCACGGAAAGGGAGGAACAACTCCTTGGCTTGATTATCAACTTGGTTTTTAAAGGCTTTTGCAACTCCATCATGTACATCAGAGAGAGAAACCTGAATCCCCACTAAATGCGCAAAAAATAATAGTAATAAATAATAAATGCGGAGAAGAAAAACTCATTAAAGTAACTCATTAATTTGGAACAATAATCCATAGATGCATGTAGAGATTGATGGATAAGATCAAACATCATTACGAAACCCTAACGATACGTGTATAGCATGGCACATATTATGTTACACAACTCAACAGAAACTGACGATTCCATTTTCATTTTCAAAGGCACATTACACATCATTTTTAATTATATTTTGTATAATTTTTAAAGAAGTTGCAAGGATAGTGATCATGATCATGGTCAAAAGAAGAGAGAAACGCATGCAAAATGTATTTGGCATTGAGAGCTTTAATTGAAGGGATTTGTTCCTAAGTCTCAAGATAATCGTATGCTTTAGCAATACCAAAGAAAAAAACTAAGGTTACTTAATGTGTTTTACTCAACAGCTTGAGAAAGAGATGAAGGAATGGAAAACACAAGAACAACAATTAAAATAATACAATTTTGTTAAACCGCGTAAATGAGATTCATAACAACAATTCGTGTGTGTGTATATATGTATGTACATTAATTGTCATGCATCATTGGTACTTTCATGGCATCAATTGGATCAAAAACAAATAGTACAAAGCATGAGAGAGAGAGAGAGAGAGAGAGAGAGAGAGAGAGAGAGAGAGACTTGTAGTGGGGATGGAGGAGGGTCTTTGTTTGACATGGATTAGAGTCACATTTTGGCCTCTTGAGAGAAGATGATCAATTGCCCATTTCAGAGCATATTGGCTGCCTTTGTCCTTGTCTATTGCCACTATAACTTCATTCCCATTTGCATTTCCATTCCCAGTATTCCCCCTTTGATTCCACATTCAACCAATTCGATCGTTGACCCCTCCTTTGCTTTCAAATTTATTTACTATTCTATCCAAATTAACACAACCTCCCCCTTATTATAAAACTTAAACCCACCCCCTCTACTTTGTTGCCTTCTCTCTCTTTCTCTCTCTTTCTCTAAATGTTGGAAGGCATCAAAGGGGGTCTGGTCTCTATCCAAACTTTCCTCTCTCTATCTCTTTAATTTTCTCAATCTCGATCTGGATCTCGACTTTTTTATTTTTTATTTTTTGAAAAAAATAAAATACAAATAATAATCTTACCCTCACACCCTGTCATTGTAATCTGCCAATCTATGAGAGCGTCAAAGATCCTCCCACTTGATCTCAGATGCTCTCTTTTTCTCTCTTCCAAGGGAGTTTCCTTTTTCAGCTTGTTAGATTAACAAATTAGCATGTAACTACCTCTCTCTCTCTCTCTCTCTCTCTCTCTCTAAATTCTAAATTAGGCTGGCTGACTCCATCAATCAAAATATAAGGTAATGATAGTCACCCATTCAATATATCTACGACTCTATTTCTTTCTTTTCAAGGTAATGATAGTGAAATCACCCTAATATTCAGGGGCAGTTAGCTCGTTTTTTGGCTCTTTATGACAATAATTGTTGTTAATATAATAAAAAGCATCCTACAGAAATTTTCATTTGGTTTACCACTCTTCTATAAAACAACAAAAATTAGACCTGGGAAGCAATTAAAGATAGCGAAGGAAACAAAGTTCCGGGGCCTAATGGCTTTAATCTAAAATGCATCACTGCTGGAAATCGGATTTTTAGTGTCGTTTTAAAAACGCCGCTATATCTATCAAAAACGTCGCTAATTCATTTTGTGACGTTTAGTACCAAACGTCGAAGCTGCGGCCGTCGTTGCAGCTTTGCGACGTTTTAAAAACGTCGTGATATTAGTATAGGAGGCGTTTTAAAAAACGCCGCCAAATGTCCCACTCTACACACGCTGACGTCACCAACGATATTTAGCAATATTTTGAAACGCCGTCGTATCTGTTTAAAAAATATAACTGTTACTATTGCGGGTTTAGGAGGCGTTTCTAGAAACGTCGTCATATTTTTTTTTTTTTTTGGATTGTGCTAGTTTTATTTGATTAAATTAAAAAGAATACCTGTAAGAAAATATTGAATTTGGTTTCTCATTCAATTAATAAAAAAATACCTGTAATAAAACTAACATACAAAATATTAACTCCCATTCAAATACCTGTAATAAAACTAACAGATAAAATAATAACTCCCATTCAAATAACAAATGAAGCATTAATTCAGTTTCTCATTCAATTAATATCCAATCACCATTACCCACAAAATAACATATCCAAATCCAAAAATCATGTTTTAACATAACCAATACATCCACCACAATAAATTATATTCATCTCCTAACCAGATATACCATAAAAGGTAATTGTAAACCTCAAAAAATGGGATGTATTTAGCCTTGAAAAACCTCAAACATTGAGGAAGAACTTGTATTCCAGCTCATACATAAAACCAGAACATTTTCACAAAGTTTGAGTTCGTACCAAGGTTCGAATCAAGGAATATGCAGGTAGCTGCTTCTAATTATAAGTTGCAAAAAAAAAAAAAAAAAGAACCCAAAGGAGCATTTGAATGTCCCAAGTAAATCAAATCATCACTGCATTTTGCTCATCCCCAGTTTGTTTCATATGTGCATTTTTTGTCAACACTTGATTGGAACCAGTAGTTTTGCAATTTCAGTAAATGTTGTATAGTCATACCATGGATAACTTGCAAGTGATTACAATTAGAAAGACCGCCTATTTAAATCATATTCACTTCGCAGGGGCACCAAAACACCTGATCAGTTCAAAGAAATCACAGAATGTAATATGGCATTTGCTACTATTTCACATTAATAGACAATGACATTCAAGTAGACAAAACAGAAACTAAATTTAAACTCTAGAATATCTTAAATGAGAAAAAACCAAATGTTAAGAAGGCAGCTTGTCACGACCCGAACCCGCCCCCATGGGTTAAGGACGTGACCGGCCAGTAACCCTAAGATTACCTACGGCCTCAATCAAAACAGACTAAGACATCGGAGTAAAGGGGGCCAAAAGAGAAGCAGAATTTGAAAACTTTGTCCATAGAGCCGTGCTTATATGCGCATCAACAGACCATATTCAGTCACGTTAATAACCCACGTCAAAAGTATAGTTTCACAAAGTCCATTACAGACAGGATCATCCAAAACGAGTCAACCTATGGCAGACTAATTACAGACAGATATACATAAAGTCCTTGCCGGCAAGGCAAAATATAATTACATAACAAAAGGGCAAGGCAAGTCTCAAAAGTGAGACGCAAGGCTGACTTCCTCAAAACTCGGATTTTTCCTAGCAAACTTCATTGGGGCTGGGTTTGGACTTCCCTTGGCTCACCTACAAACACATGAATGAGCGTGAGCGATAGCCCAGTGAATAATATCAAACACAGAAGTCATATAAACAATATGTACATTATACGGAGTCTAGATCAAGTGACTGTAGTTCTAACATGTTGGCCTTTGGTCCATTCTGATTTGCATCTACGTCAAAACGGCCTTTGGCCCACTCATTCATGTCAAAACGGCCTTTGGCCCATCCATTTATGTCAAAACGGCCTTTGACCCATTCATTTACATCAAAACGGCCTTTGGCCCATTCATTTATATCAAAACGGCCTTTGGCCCATTCATTTACATCAAAACGGCCTTTGGCCCATTCATTTATATCAAAACGGCCTTTAGCCCATTCATTTATATCAAAACGGCCTTTGGCCCATTCATTTATATCAAAACGGCCTTCGGCCCATTCATTTATATCAAAACGGCCTTCGACCCATTCATTTATGTCAAAACGGCCTTCGGCCCATTTATGCATTCATATTGGACTTACGTCCACAATCCCAATTAGTAGTTCATAAGGCTTAAAAATGGGGTAAACAATTGGACATTCACAAGCATTCAAATATCGATATTACTCACAGTGATCGGCTTGTGGATTTGCCCTAGAGCTTGACCCTACACATTTCATGAACACAAGAGGGTCACTAACAGTTCAATCCATTCTTTAATTCACGTATTCCTCTTTAGGCTTTATTCTTATCTCATTAACTCATTTACGCCATTTAACACATGCCTAAGAGTGATTACAAGTGAAACAGAATGGAAAACGAAACACAGAATGCATGAACGAAATTTCAGAAAACAGGGTCCCCGCTCGAGCGTGGACTTACCCGCTCGAGCAGACCCTTAAGGCCTGCAAAAGTACTGGTTGCATGAAAAATACGCTCGAGCGTTAAATAGGGCGCTCGAGCGGAAGGCCTGTCAAAATAGCTCCCACGCTCGAGCGTCGACTTCCCCGCTCGAGCGGTAACCATGTCTGCAGGCGTCACTTCACCCGCTCGAGCGGACATCGAAAATCTGGGTTTTCCAGATTGAGTTCTTGAGCTCCATCTTGACATTCAAAGGCTCTAAATGCATGATTTCGGTCCAAACTTCGCATAATCATGTATTTAACATGGTACAAACATAGAATTACAACATATTGAAGCTCAATTTCATAATTTATTTACATGCATGGCTCATTTTCCACCAATTCATTACCAATGTAACCATTTCATGCATTCAAAGCTCATATCTTCTCAATTTGTACATGCATGTGATGGATTAGCCACATTCTCAACTTAGATAACACAAATGGTGATCAAGACATGAGTTTCCTTTAATATTGCACCAAACACTTGCATCTTGCCTTTGAGACGCAGGGTGGGGCTTGTAGACCATCCCCACCCTTTACCGGCAGTGGCTAGAGGCCACCGGCTGGTTTTTGCTGCCACCGGCAATGTATATTGCCGGTCGGCACTATAAATCCACTAAGGCCAAGATTATAATAATAGAATAGTTGGGCTCTAATTCATCAATTTAATCGGTTTAATCTAACCCAAATCAATTTTCAATTAAATTTCACCGTAGGCTCTAAAAATTATGCCTATCACAATGGCGTAATCAATTTCGGGTTCCGTGGCCGATAAGGCCTCCAATTTAATTTTCGAAGCGGTAAAATCAAACAGATATTCCTATGGTGAACAGATAGAAATTCAAAACCACATATTTTCACATAATGGCATACAAAACCATAACAAACACATAATCGTATACACATTAAGGACCAATTAGTATAATACAGAACAGGGGTGTCACACAGCTACATAATAAGTCCAAAGATTTAAGCCCCATCTGGCTGGATGAAAGGATTCGCAATCTCATCAGTAGCTGATACAAGCATCACGGCAGTTCCCCTACACACCTGCAATAGAACCAACAACAAATATTTAATCAAGAATTCTTCAAAGTATTGCAACTTCTCTTCTCATCTTTTGGGATAGGAAAAGTATATACAACTTTTGGATGGCACTTCTAAGAATACTTTCCAAGATATTTTATCCAATTTTATATAAAAGAAGCAGTACTCCTTAAATAAAATCCACCTCACATGATGCACCACCAATTTCCATCAAACCTTTTGAATCAAAACATCGGAAAAATTATATAACAGCCAAAACTTCACTAATATAATTTTCAATTTTCTGAAAATTGAAAATTATGAGACGGTATTTTTATTCTTTAGTATTTCTGGCTAAAAAAAAAAAACAGAACAGAATTCTGGTGTTTCTCTGAAAACTAGTTCTTTTTTAACTCCTTTTTTTTTTCCTGAAAATAGTTCTTGAGAATAATGAACTTAACAAATTTTCAATTCTATTTTCTGTTTTACGTGACTCCTAGAATAGAAAACTCTTTTCAAAAACTCCAACAAATACAAAGCCCATAATAACCCTTGTTTCCCATTTAAGTGTTGAGAAAAAAGAATTTGCAGTATCAAAACCTAAAGACTCATGCATAATTTGATGCTCTCCCAAAGATGCAGCAAAACTTGTTGCCTGCTTAATAAAAAAAATTTAAAAAAACAAAAAAACAAAAAGAAACAATTGGTGTGGGGACGACAAACATTCACTACTCTGATTAAGCTCTCATGATTAGCCAACAGCTAAGTCAATATTTGACAATCACATGATTATGCATAAGCCACCATAAGTTACATAGATGGTCCACCATAAACCATGGATGACAACTAAATTTGTCCAAAGCTCGCACTTGGACAGTAGAAAATATCAGTTTGTGTATGCAACTGAAGTGTTCAAGACATCATATAAATCAGTAAGAAGTAGTGTTGGCTTGACAAAGTTGCTAGCTGATCTCACACCAGCCTTAGGGTTACTTATAAAGCTCCATTGAATGAATCAACGTTTCCCTCCCGAACAAGGGTCAATGGTTTGGGGAAAAGCCTATCTCAGATCGTTTTGGAAAGTTAGAAGAATCACTAGCAACCA